TTAGCTACGAAATATTGAATAAAATCAACAATCAACAAAGAATAAAACGAGGCTTCAGATAGAATCCTGCCGTCACGGACGCAATATTACAAATCATACAGAATCCTTAATTTTGCAAATTCGTTTACCCATGTTGTATCGATTTGACTAAATCTTTTGAGAGTGTGAGACTAAACGAAGCTCTGGCTACGTTAATAATGGAGAAAATATTTAAAAAAAACGGGAAATTCGGTCTGAGATTCCGTCTAAGCCTTGGAGAAATATCAAAAATATGCTACGTGGACGACACCGCCTTAATGGCAAAAAGCTGCAAAGACTGCTATTTACATTCTCCAAAGGACCCAAACACATAGTCGAATTGTTTTTATCACTTGCTTTGTCCATAATATTTGTTTCAATGTTTTTATGGTAGTAGAGCATTTTTTATTTGATTTGGCTTAATTTAATCCCCCCAAGAGCCAGACACCGGAAATGCAAGCCTTCGGACATAATTAACGAATAAGCAGAAGATTAAATTTAAATAAAAATGTTGAATCTATGTTTACTTTTGTATAAGCTAAGTGTAGGCCTGGGTAACTCAGTGAATGTTTAGGAGTTGGCGCAGTGCTACGCAAATGTCTTGCTGTACCAACCCAACGCACCAGCTCAGGAACTCAGTTCCGCTGCTGGGAAAATGTTGATGATTTTTTTTTAGATTTATTTTAAGGACCGCTTATTAATATTGTTTAGATTTCATCAAAATTTCAGTTTTCCAATTTTACTCAAGTTGCTCTTTCTTCTAAATGCTCAATTTTCTAAAGTTGCACTTAAAAATGCTGACAATCTTAATGTATTTTATGAAATAAATTTCGAATCCTTCGTCGTTTTGTAAAAAGTTTTGAAGTCCCTTTCCAGCTTCGAATTTGGAACAAAAATCAAACAATTTTCTATCAAAAAACGAACAGAATAAGCGAAAGTTTATTACAGCGCATTTGGAAATCTCTTCACCTCCATTTCTCTGAAGACTGTGGAATTTGTTAAAATTGTGGAAAAAAATGTGGTTTTTTAGTTTTGACTGATTTTTTTTTGCTTTGCTTTCTTGTTTCACTTAAAAATACTGACGATCTGGAGGACTTTTACCCGAAAAATTACAGGATAAGTTTATAGCTTTGTAAAAAATGTTCAAAAACTTTATTCCGTGTTGAATTCGGGACAAAAACGAAAATAAATTCCTACAGTTTTTTCCCGAAAACCTCTAAGATTTTCTCCAAAACAGAATCCCAAAACTAAAAGTTTTTAATCGAAAACGCAAAACCGCATTATTTTCAGATGATTTTCTTCTTTTTTGACAATAATGGGGTGTTTTCAGTCAAAAATTAGAAAATTAGTATTGCTAGAAACGTCGCCTCGTTCATCGGTTTACAGGAAATTTTAGAAAACCCATTTCAGCTTCGAATTTGGCACAAAAACCAAATAATTATATTCAGTTTTTACAAATTATTGGGAAAATTCGCCGCCCGCATCGCTCTGAGAAGTTCCTTTAAATTTTCAGGTCATTCCAGATTTAGCAAAGTTTCTATTAAGCAATTCTTTCTACGCAAAAATCGCATTATTTTTAGTTTTACTTAAAATACTAGCAATCTTCAGGTATTTTGTGTGAAAAAGATAAATTTTATTGGAACACTCGCCTTCTTAACCGCTTTGCAAAAATGTTTGGAAAACTTTTTACAGCTTTGAATTATGTACAAAACCCTAATAATTATTTCTAGGTCTTTCTCCGAAAATATTTACCCGAACTGAAAAAGCGAAAGTTTATAATCATTTATTTGGAAAACCCGTGGAAACTGGAATTTCTTCACTTTTAGGTCAATATTTCTAGACAACACTGTGTAAAAAACCTGTGTAAAAAACGACTCTTAATTTAACAATCCTACACAATCAACAATCAAATAAATCTTAGACATGGAATATCACGAAACACTAAAACACAGCGCCTGGAAAAAGTGCAATAAAAAGTAAGACTGAAAAATTTTACATCATAGGTACTAAACAATTGATTAATATAATACGATTGTTTAATAATAATTGAACCGATTGTTTAATAAAACAATCGTATTAAAATCAAGACTTAAGACATGCTGTTTCTATCTGAACCATATTGTGTACACTAATGTATATTTTAATGTATTAATCTCATGAGTGTTACTAAGTTTCAATTAATATTAAGCAAAATTGAAATATTCTCAATGTTAACTGCGCATTAAACTTGAATAATATTTGCTATTGCTTCGCATTGCTTATCTTTTTTAAAATCTTTTGTGTACACGTTTTACAATCAAACGAATGAGTAAAACATTCATGAAAATTGCAACGGCACGTTTTATTTGCTAAAACATCAAGTCTTATCGGTTTTGTATTATGTGGAATTATTTTTTTTTGCAAACTCTTAATGATTACGACGTCTGTTACTTGTGCGGCTTATCTTCAAACTGAGTACAGATTTTAATTTTATCAGATTTACATTATTTACATTTAGGAATTTAGAAATGAGTACAAATAATTTTTTTACCGTGTGCTATTTGTATAATATCTAGACGTATGCGAAAGTAGCGAGGTTACCAAATTTTAGATTAATTCGATTTGCGCGCAAGTTAATCGTTTTTTTCAATGTTTTCAGTTTCATCTAAAGAAATAGTTCTGCAAGAAAGTACATTTTGGGCCACACAGATTTTTGTACATTTCGCGTGTTTCTACATTTTCTCATAACATTTTTCAATTGAAACTCGCTAATTACACAATTTGGTATAACACTGCATTTTTCAGTTTCAAAAAGTTGAGTTAAAACTTAATAAAAATGAAAAATACATTGAATCACTCGAATGGAAAAATCAAATGTGAATTTTACGGATTCTTAGCAAACAGAAAAACAATCCTATGCAACAAATTAATTCGTATATATTTTATTTTACATTTATTCAATAGACTTTGCTTACTTCAATTAAATCTATAGGGCAAGAAACAAGTTATATTTACTCCAAATAAAATAAAAAATGGTCTTATAATTGGTAAATTTATTTGTCTGCTTAGCTGGTTAATTGTGAAAGATTTCCCATGATCTGTCTTTTAAAGTTTAAAGTAATTTTTATAACTGTTTAAAGTAGGTGACCAAACAAAGCTTAAATCCCAACTAACTAGCAAAAATCTAACAAACTTATCTCAAAAGATGGTACTTAAAACACCATTAATGTACATTGGTTAAAAGAAAAGATAAATGTAATAATTGTTTCAAACTATATCCAACAATAAGTAAGAATAAATTAAACAATAAACTTAAAAATCTATGACAGTTGAATATGAAAAATTATGCAATTAATGCTGCTGTAAGTCTTTAATAATGCCCTTGTATATTTTGCTCATAGTAAAATTCTGAGAGTTAAAGCCAGATTTCCCAAAAGTGACTAGGATTTCACAAAACATTCAGCTATTATTAGAGCAGTCAAAATCAGTTGAACCTTCAAAAAGCTTACAATAATTCTAAATTAATGTAATGGAAGTATTCTATTAAAAAATCGCATGTATATAGCCAGATATAAATAAACTATTCAACAAGCACATGACACAATCCTGCAAGCATGCCAATTTAGACCAGTTGATTAGGAGCAATAAATTCGCAACGCTTCCAACTTGAATAGGTCAATGAAAAAGATATTAAACCTAATTCACCCAGCAGAAAAAAAATTAATTTAAGAACGATTATTGGCTTATGTATTCTTGCGTCAGCATTTAGCAAAATTAATCAATCCAGCTTATTACATTGATTGCTTTTTATCATCGATCTTTGTCTTCTTTAACTCAAATGTAGTGTCAAGTATCTGGCTAATCTATTGGGGTTTAAAAAAGCGTTAATACATACACGAGAAATTAATAATAATTTAACAGTATTTAATCAAGAATGTTTTGAACCATAAAATAAAGTTGAACTTTGAATTGTTTGCGCCAGATATGCTCGCAATAAGAGTTCATTTCATTGTCGTAGAAGCTTTCAAATGTAAAATGTTGACTATGAGTATGAGTTTTTTTTTCATTACTGGTCAAAAATTGGAGAAAACTTTTATTTAGTTTTTAAATTCAATCGAGTTCTACCTTCATTTTTGTAGTCAACAACACTTTTGGCACAACTTTGAGCCACTCTGAATGGATGAAAAGTAGTTCCGGCTTTGTTCTACTTTCCTCATATAATTGAATAATGAATCGGTTTTTAAAGGTTTCAATCGGCAGTCGTCTAGAACGAAATATTTCTCAATTATTCGGTTTCAGTTATTCAAAAAATAGATCGAATCATTTCCGGTAAAAAAATATTGCTCGTTTTATCAGTTTTTGCATCACACTTTTCTCTTAAGTACATTTTGTTAAAAATTCATCTGTTTATCTCTTTGAAATTCAAAATTTAAAGTTGATCTAACGAAACTAAACGTAACTGAACAGTCGAATTGATAATCAAAGAAACAACAATATATATTACTTATTACTTAAATAAAAAAAATCCTCAAATTGAAAACGTGGATGTTGAAAGTTCAGTTTATTTACGTGCAACAAAAAGTAAGAAAATAGAAAATTAAATTATTTTGTCGCTACCTTTCGCAAAAGACCGCGAGATATTTTTACAAGTAAAACCTTCCATTTATTTCCATTATATTTTCATTATCTTTGTTTGCTCTATTTCGGCAGCTACAATTCATTCAAGCTATCGGACACAATATTTTTTTGTTAAGTAAACTGAACTAAAATTCAAGGTGTAATTCTAGTTCAGAGTTCGAAAGTAGCAAGTGAATTTAGTGGGTAACTGTGGTATTAAATTCTTTAAGAAGAACTTTGAAGGTCTATTTTTTTAACAGTGACTATGCACATTTTTTGACCACTTTTTTGTTGCTGTTTGCTTTGAGTTTACAGTATCTTTTTCGTTACACTTTGTACCTTTGTAAAAATTATATCAAAGTTTAACACATTTTCTTATTGCCTAGGAATAGTGAAAAAATGGCATTAAATGAAGAAGAAATCAAGTCCACTGAGTGCGTTTTATCTGCAGAATGCAACGTTATTGTCGAACAAGATGAAACTATCTTAGTGGTACCTTCAAGGTAAGCGGAAATTAATTTTTTAACATTTTATTTTCTGCTTACTTACTTTACCGTTTAATTTTACTTTTCAATGTCAGTTCTGCGTTTACAGTAATCAGATTAAATCGTGATACCATCTACTTGGAAATTAATTGTCGTCATATAAGGTACGGTGTTTTCAGCATATCTAAGTCACCAAAAAAATTATTTCGAGTATTCAGGCAATTTCCTGTTTATTATTTCAATTATTTGATTCAAATTAGAGCCAGTTTTTATATGTGTATTAATAGAAAAGTTCTTCAGAAAAATACCAAGAGCAATATTTCGCAAAATGTATCAATCTACCTCGGAATCTGAATTTATTTATAAAAAAAATCAAAAAATCGCAAACGCGAATCGAATACAGAGAGCGTTGAAATTATTTTAGCGATTTTTTTAAACTTCCAGCATCAAGGTTTGACAAATGATATTTAAAAACCGCTGCATTGAAGCTTTAAAAAGTTTAATTTTTGATTGGTTTCTCGAAAAAATTTATGAAAATAATAATTATGAAAAAAGTTCTCCAGAAAAATATCAATAACAATATTTCGCAAAATTTATCAATCTGTCCCGGAATCTGAAATTTTAATTAACACTTCTTTTGCACACAATATGGATGAGTGAAATAATGTTGGTAAATATTATTTTGTATCGTTTTAGAGTCTTATAAACTTTTCCAATAAAAGTAATTTAAAATAATAATAAATACAGTGCTAATATTAACAATATAATAATATATTTATTACCTTTAACCGATTTCTATTGCTATTAGAAAAAACTACAAGCGACGATAGAAATAGAAAAAACTCAAGCTTTGATGTGGAAATGAAAAAATAGTAAATTATATAATTATGTGGCTCATACCCAGATGAACACATTCACTTCACAATAACGTGACTTTTACGTCTCAAACTGACGTTATTGACGACGTTTACTACGTGGGCATGACCTTAAAATGACGTTCAAATGCCAAACCTTCATCTTGACGTTTTACTGTCGAATATAAACATATGAAAAAATATCATAAATCAGTCAAATTTTCATTTCAAATCAAGAGAATGAACAGTATTTTTTTTTATTTAAACGTTTTAAAACACAATCTATGCCCAGCAATCGTCACACTAAAGTAACACAATTTTTAGTTACACGTAGTAACTATCATGCATGCAAATAGGAATTAATTCGTATTTTACAATGTGAACTGTTTGACTAAATGGACTGCAACAACAATAGTGAATACCAATAAATGACGTCCATCTATGTCATTATATTAATACGTCAACTTGACGTTTAAATCTCAACGTCATCAAGACCACTGCCAATGACAAATTAATATTAATCTACTGAATCGCAGCAGACTACCTAATTGATTGAAAAGTTGCACTAAAATTAGCTTTTAGTTATATTTAGTCCATATTGCTCACACATTGTAATAAAGGAAAATTTACTATTGTAAAATTTCTGGTATTATCCAAATATTATCTTATTTAAGTAAATTGATTAATCTTGGAAACGGTTCGAGATAACGAAATGATACATTAATATGTAATTATTGGAAACATTATTGACCCTTCAAATTACGATATTTTATTTGATATACACGGTGACAAAGTAAGGACCTAGTCGTAATCAGTCAAAAATCATTCTGATGTGGAAAAGAATTTCTTTCGAACGTTTCGCTGGAACTGAACTCACTTTCCATTATTTCTTTCAGGAAAGTGTGGCTTCAAAACGTACTCTACACATTCACCAATCATCTAGTTCCTGCCCTAGCAGCATTTCTAGCTAATAGTTTGTCGAAATCATTGGCACCTCTTCAAAGAATTCCGCTTAACTTACCATCTGGAGTGGTAAGAAAGCGATTTCGACGAGTAAGTCGATCGCGGCTGGCCTTAGCCGATGGTTTAGACGAAAGTCGCATCGAAGAAGGAAGCGACAGTGAAAAAATGAACGAATCACCGGAACGATGTGTGAATTGTACAGTAATGCATGAGCCAGAAGGAGAAATATTTGCTGATGTTATATTTGTTCATGGATTGCATGGTGGTAAGCAGTTGTTTTACTTGGAATTGTTAGGTTCAGAAGACCAAACATTGCACAACCATTGGATAATTGAAACGATTTGATTTTGATGGAAAAATTGCGAAACAATGTATAACTTCTTTAGAAATTTTAGTCTTTTTAGCCTTTCAGCAAAGGAAGGCTTATACGTGGGACCAGTAATTCTGCAAGCGCTTCAATTAATTAAACCGTTAGCCGCGATGTTTGAATATTAAAATGAAATGATGTAATGCAGCAGAACTTGTTTAAATAAGTTTGCAATATTTACCCGATTTAAAAGGCACGTTTTAAATTCGACTTTTATCATTTAAACTTCTGTTTAAATAGTTGATTCAAATACAAGGATTTTCAATTAAACAAATGTTGAGTGATTCTTTTTGAAACCCCACCTGGATTGACCTAAATAAATGGAAGGTTTATATGTAGAGAAAGAAACTTGCTTGCTTTACAGTTTCAATAATTGGCAATATAGTTGAAGCAAAAAACATTTCTAAGAAAACGTAAATTCGGCTTTGAAAATGGTAAAAAACCCTGAACATTTTTTAGACAGTGTTATTTATTAAAAAAATCATATCAGACATCAATCGAATACAGACGGAGAGCGTTAAAATTATTTTGGCAATTTTTTTGTTAACTTTTCTAGCATTAAGGTTTAAAACATGATATTCGAAAAAACCACAATTGAAGTTTTAAAGTTGTATTTTTTATTGGTTTCTCGAAAAAATGAATGAAAATAATAATAATAAACTTTAAAGTGTATTTGGCATAAATAACTATATTATTTTGCCTCATGGGCACTCTTTTGTTAAGTCCAGAAATACTTTAATTGATGAAGAAACTTGCTAAGACTTATGAATCTGGAACTTGAAAATATCATAAAAATTATACAAACATCTGTTGCTAAGCTTCTTTGCCATTAATAAAAATACTTGGAAAGATGATACAGAATTTCTTCTGGAAGATCTTAGAAGATAAGAGAAGCTATAGAACATTATAAGAACATATTCAGTCTCAATTTTTTTTTTCATATTCACCCAAATAATAATTTTTTGATTTTACGTGCAATGTTTAGAAATATACGTATTAATTTTCTAATTTTTTTTCTGTTTTTTTACCATTTTTAATCTTGTATTAGATTATATTTTCGTAAACGAAACAATGTGGAAAAAATTCGTGTAACAAAAAGTTGCATTTTTATCGTCATCAGGTGAAAACATTATTAAAATTACAAATACTTTAAACGTTCAAAGTGTTTTAGTAATAAAACAAATTTAAGCTCATGTGAAACGTTATTTTTGTAAAACGAAATTTATTTTTGTAAACGGGCAAAAAAACAATCTAATTGAAATGAATGTAAAAACGCGTATATACTTTTTATAATAAGAACCGCTAAATACAATTTTTATAAATCGTCCTGTATGGGTAAATCTCCATTTTCCCTTTTATGATATTTAATAACTTTCAATAGTTAGTTCGAAAATAAAATAAAAACATTCCCTTTCATCCAAAAAAAGTTATAGAGGCGATATTACATTTTTAAAAACGATTTTAATTGCATTGCTGCGTAATTCATGTAAAGCACCCTCGAATAAAATAGTCAAAAGAGAAATTGTTCAGTCATTTCTCATTAAAATAACTAACTTTTTACCAATTAGTTGTAGAATGCAGGCATGATCTCAACATATTTAATATTTTCATGGCGCTTAAGAATTTAATTAAAGCGGGTTTGTTTGCTGAAGTTCTTCGTATTAATAAGTTCCAAGTTCATAATTACTGTGTCGCTTGGCATATTAACTTTATAGCGAAAAAAGTAATACGCTGTCGGCGCTTTACGTTAATAAAGTTAAGTAAATTTTATTAAAAAGTTGTAAAAAACAACCAAGTAAAATCGTTTGTAAATTTCCAAAGGCAAAAACTGATAAAGAAACGAAAAGTTTTTAGAACAATATAAAGTGGAAAATTTCTAATTAACTGATAGAACTGTTTGGGTTAATATCTAGGTTTAGATCGGACATGGAGACAAGGAACATGGCGAGTAAAAAACCCCAAACTGAAAAACTTGAGTCCAATCAGAAGACATTCCACTGACGATATGTACGTTCCAGTCCCAGAGAATTTTTCAAGTAAGAATGTGGGTGATGAAGGAAGACTCAAGCGAACACTCACGAAAATTTACACGACCATACCGGTGAAAGTAGCCAGAACCAAAGACGCAAATGCAAACGACAATGTGGATGAAGTGGATGAAACAGAGCAAGTAGAGGAAGAAATTGAATTCGAAGATCAGGAAACAAATGTGGATAATTTCAGCAGATGTTGGCCGCAAGATTGGTTGCCTCAAGATTGTCCAGGGGTGAGGATTTTGGGCATAAACTATACAACGGATGTTCTGTGGAGGCCACTATGGCAGAAAAGAAAACCCAGGTAAACATCAGTGTTTAGCATTTACAACTCGGGTGGTAAATTTACTTTGGATATCAAAGTAAATTTAATTATCTAACAGCTTCAAGTTGGCCGAACCCTATTTAAAATTCATCTAATAAGGGCTGGCTGGTATGACGGTTTTTCAAAGCAAACACATAAATTTCACAAGGATAACTTTGCCTAATTAATAAAAGTTCATTGGAAGTGATTGATGTTTTATTCCTAGAATAAAGGTATTAAATCGATACCCCATCCCAAAGCGTAAAATGATTAAAACCGATTGTTGATTAAATATATTTTTCCCAGAACCAGTCTTCCTCAACGAAGTAACGAAATGATGGAAGATCTGCTCAGATTAGGAGTGGGCTGCAGACCAATAGTGTGGGTGGGCCACTCAAAAGGTGGATTGTATATTAAACAAATAATCCTCAACGGTAAGGACAATTATTTTATGTGAGTACAAAGTGTAAGAGATCATTTTTATTTGCTTAATGAAATGATTAATTGATTTACTTGATATTAATCGTATATCTAATATATATGGACAACATTCCTTTGAAACTTATAGTTTTTGCACTTCGAATAATATTGAATACGCAGTCACAAGAACGAGGAAGATATGAAACAAAGAACGTCAGTTTCATCGTTTACTTTCTACATAAAAAATGCAAACAGGAATACGAATAGAAGAATTTAAGTAGCAGTTGATACTAGAATTTTATTGATTAATTTGAAAGTTTGCTTTTTAAAAAACAATTTATTTACAAATTTATACAAACAATAGATTTTAGTTGTTACCGAACCTTAACTATGATTTTTGACCAAACATATAATGACTCGTTTCTGCTGTGCCTTTTTTTATAGTTAAATCATGCTGATCACAGCAGAAACAATACTACGTCTTATTTTATATGAATAGTCGGCATAAGTGGCCATATAATTATAGCAAATAATTTGGATATTGTAAATTAAATTTCAATATTTGTATATTATTTTTTATAGTTTGCCAACATTTTCGGGAAATTTTAACTGCAAGAAACATTCTTAATCTGTGACTAACGCCTAGAAACAGCGCGAAATAAATTGAAACCCCCGCAAATTTTCGCAGAAACACAAATTTTGAATAACGATTTAATTAATAACAATCAGCTTTTATAGGACCATTCGAATGTATGTTTGTACTCAGTAGCACTCACACACATAAAGGAATATATTTTTAATGGAATCAATATTTAATAGAGCGTAAATAGTTAGATTTCAGAAGAACCATTCAAAAATGATTTTTTTTCAATTTTCAAGATTGTCCAGATGCTTCAATTACTATAGATAATTTCCGATTCCAAAAGCAATTCCAGATCTCAGAACATGAATTTCATTCATGCGATAAATGACTAGAGTAAAGACACTTTATTAACTACGTAATATTTTGCAATTCATTTCAATGAGTAAATTGTTTCATTAGTCCAAGAAAACTTTTTACATGCATCAATAAAATGGCACAAAAAATAGTTAACTAATGATTTCATTTTTAAAAAGCATTTTTATAACTCTATAAAACAATTATTTTTAGTAACAGTAAAAAGAAGAAACCTTATTTGAATTTATCTAGAAAAATGGAGAGCGTTTCGATACCTAATACTTGAAACGGGACAAAATTAGACTAAGCGCTCACGCAAAATGGATTTTCTCTTATCTTTAGCAAAAGTAAAAAGCAGATACTTTAATTCTTTTAAAAAATGGTTAGTGTCCCGATAAACGTAACGCCAACATACCTAATAGCTGAAACTGAGCAACATTATTAAAATTCAATAATACAAAGCGATCTTCTTACAGGATGGCATGCTAAGGATAACCAGACTGTTCAAAATCTCTACCATCAAACCAAAGCTATAATGTTCTATAGTGTGCCTCATAAAGGCTCTCCAATTGCAGACATGACTTTTCCTTTCTTCAGACGAAGTATTGAAGTTATGGAAATCCGGACAAGTAAGTATTATTACATTGTTTCTTAAAACTATTTTTTAAGTTTTAAGGTCATTTTTTAAATTCTTCCTATTCCTGCTAAGAATTGTGAAAAAATCTAAATATTAATAATACATTTAAGAAAACGTTTCTCATAATAAATTAAAATAACATTCATCATTAAAATACATTCATTAAAAATTGCTTGTGTTTTATGAAATACGTAATAATTAATTATACGCAATTAAATTATTACATAAACAAATCACGTACATCTTATAAGTTCAAATCAAAATTGTAGAATTAAGAAAATTAAAATTATTAATTAAAAATAATTAAAAAAATAATGCTAAATGAACATCTGTGAATGCGCTTTTAATATTTGTTTTATTTTCTGGCTATTAGACTGTGACTTCGTTCTCAACTTACATCGAAGTTTTCTTGAAATATTCAACAGTGAGGAACAGGACAAAAAACCGGAAATTTTCAGTTTTATAGACACTGAAAATACGCCCGTAGGATTTACTTCTCTAAAATTCATCGCTTACGAATCGGCCGATCCAGATATTGGCATCAAATGCGACGTGCCTCTGGATCATAGAGAAATTTGCAAACCCGCTGGAAGAGATTGCTTTCTTTACCTTGAATTAGTGAAAATGATCAACAAGTCCATTTTTCAAAAGGAAGCTTAGCAAGGTTACGTTTCCGAAAATTGCTGTTTTTTGACAATTTTTTTTGTCAGCCAGGGCCAATTTTTATTATTTAATACATCGCATCTTGCATTCTGTGCTCCAATAGCATTATATTTAAGGTAGTCTTTCAAGTATATACAATTTTTAATTATTAAGTAGATTTCAAGGCGGTTTTACTAAAGAAAATTGCATGTTTCTGTGGAACTCAATTATACAATCAGTATAATAATATTAAATTATACCCTAATACTACCCCAAAATTATATAGCAACCAATAAAATTGAATCGTACAATGAACGTGTATATTGAAAATTCAAGTTACTTATCGACTGTGATGCAAGCACCAAGGTTTATATATTTAGTTAATAATAACCATTACGAAATATAGACATATTTATGATGATAAAAATAAAATCAATATGTGATGTTATTAGTGATTTAGATGTAGTACGTTGCACAGAATTTTGTTATTAGTTACGAATAATTTTAATAGACCTGAAGTGAATTAAGTCAGAAATGTTTGAGGAAAATACCGGAAAATATAAAATAACAGTTTGAAAATATTAAAAGCAAACTTTTTATTTTCATCTTCGAAGAGAAATCATGGTTAAAAAGTTTAACATTAATTTTTAAATAAGTTAATAAATGTATTGTATTGTTAAATTTTAATTTTATATATTCTAGAGTTATTCTACACATTTATTGTGGAAGTTACCAAATACAAATGTACAGTAAAAAAAACCATCAAAATAAGGGTTATTTTGCAAAAATTGTCAATTAAGAGTTAAAATGTATAGAAATTATTTCTTGTTCCTTCATATTTTAAGTAAACCCTACTTTCATTTCAATCTATTTCACATAAGCCAAACCTGAAAAAAGAATAGAAATTCATCAGAATTAAGTATAATACAAAAGTTAACCATATACATATGAACACAGTATTGTTGAATTTTCTAATTTATTTCGCAAAAGGCACAGTAGAAATACCAAACCATTTCTTCATAAAAAAACAAGTATTTAACTCTTACAACTTGGAAGTGAAAAATCTGGAAATGAAAGCCCAATAATTATTACACCGAGTATTATTTAAACAGGCAAGCCAGTCCGTTACTGTGATTTCCGATGCGGAAAAGTCCAGATTCAAAAACCGTCTGTGATAATGCTTCACCAAACTTACGCAAAATGTTTAAAGTAAATTCTGTTTATTATTATCAGTATTATTAAAATTTAACCAAACCAAAAAGCTCTTGTTGCTTACCAATTTCATGAATGAAAGTGTCTCGTTCACAAGTTCGACTAATCGAAATCGTTCGAAAATATTTTTATGAATATTTAGTCGTTATTTTATGGAATTCAGCTATGCCGAAGAATTCGAAGTGGGCACATTTAAGAATAGCAATTACTAGTCTTAGAAATGTTTGTACATACATATTTGTAAGGTTACAAAAACGACAATAAAAATAAACCGATTTGCTTTGATTGAAATTAAACAATGTTGCATATGACGAGTTTATTTGTGTGCTTCCCAATGTTATAATAAAAACCAAAGTGTTTCCTAAACTAATTCCTAACAATAGTAAAAATAAGTGGATTTGAGTGGAAAATAAAAGATCTATCTACGTTCTTACCTGCTATGCAAACTGTTTCGAGGATCTGTTTATAGACTTCAATCATACTCAATTAGAAGTAGAAGCAAATATGTAACAATTTCTATTCAAAAGCTGATTGACACATTGACAGCAAATAATTGCAAAAACCAATTGAAACGCAAAAATCAAAATAGACAAAAAACATAAAACTGCGAAACTACTGCATTATTTTGCAAATTAATTACAAACATTAAAATTTATTAATCAATGTGATAACTCACGTTACAAAGTTGTAAACGAAAACTGTGAAAAATTATTATTCTCTGCATGTCAAGGGTGCTCAATATTCAATCAATTAAATCGCTGGACTGTTCCAAAACAGCGCCACTGTATGCCAAATCCCAATAGTGCTCAACTTTATGTTTTTTGAAATGTTCCCTGGCTAACCGTTCTGTGGGACAAACTTTGAATTTCAATTCTCCAAAATTCCTCTGCTTTGTTGTGCCTTCCCAAACCAACACGCATTTGTTGGGCACATCTCTACCATCTGGGTCCTTAACAATGTCCTCCTCCCATTTAATTCGATTCAACATTAATCTGTAAAAAACAGCAACTTTAATAACAGCATAGATAACACAGTAGAGCAAAAAAATCAATATTACTTACTAAACTTGATATAAAGCAGTAAGAGGGGTGTTATTAGGAAACATGAGCAATATCCAATTGAACAACTTTCAAATTTAGCTAGTCTTATATTAGTATTAGCTGTGAATTAGCAAAGTAAATTCAACTAATAAAGATATGCGTTAGAAGGGCGCTAGCTAAAATAGCAAGTATGACCGTACTTACCTTCAGGTGATTGTTTTGGATATTCTACATCAACCATAAACAAATCAAATAAAATAACATGGGTTTTAAATCACCGCCATTAATTGTTCTTACCTTTTATATTTCTTTTGCTGCTTAGGTCCTCCTTCCACCACAACGACACAGCAATCTGGATAAAGAACTACACATCCACTCATGTACAATTGTTTTGCGTTGGTTTCCACCTTGAATTTCTTTGCGGCTAACTCGTGAAGATGAAGAATTCGATAAATGGATACTTGCACACCCAAAGTCGTGTCCTCCTTCAGTTTTTTCACTTTCTTATCCCTTTTCTGTTCAGCTGTTAGTTTACGTGCTGCATTGGCGTCCTCATGGGCTTTCTGTCTTTTCGCCATTTGCTCCCTGAAATATAAATTAATTAACCACTATCGATTTAAAGTCAAAGCACTGTATCGTACCTGACATGAGCCTCGATTTTAGTTGGATCCTGAACTGCCTCAGTTCCAAGAGCTCTCATTAAATTCGAAATTCGCAATTTTGGTTCTGGAGGTGCTTCCAGGCCTAATCGGATCTTTTCCTGCTCCTCCTTCCATGTTTCTCTTCTGTTCTGTCTTCGCAACTTCTTTCGCTCCTTTTTCGTCAGAAAAACTGGCATGTAAACGGGCTTGATTGGATCAGCTAAAAAAATTCATCACCTTAAACATCTGAAACCAACAAAAACTACAAACGTTCTACATGTTCTTTAAGTAAACACATTTTTTCATTATTTCGCTGTTTATTGCAAAGTAATTGTGACTCTCTTGCCACCTCAATACATACAAAGAATGAAACTCGAAAACTTTGAAACTTACTAAGAATTTTGGAGACAAAAAATTTTGGTAAATAAAAATCGATCAGAAACTTTGGACACTTACTAGGACATCTCATTTGCGTTGGATGTTCGACTAAATTGTTGATGGAATTTTGCTTAATGGCAATCTTTCCCGTTTGAGTTTGAGTGTCCAAGTTATCTTCCAGAATAACGGAATCCCACCATTCCATTAGCGGTACTTCTTCAGTAACACCTTCGGATTTGGCAATCAAGGCCAATTTTGTAGCTGACGAGATGCCGGTTTTTTTGGCGATTTGAGAAATTTCATTTTGCAATTTTTCCAGTTGAGACTAAAATTCAAATATAAATTTGAATAAGTAATTGTGATGTTTTTGAAGCAATTTTATGTATATCTGGTTAATTATTATTTGTTCTTTCTCAGTATTATTTCATCTAGACACTTATCAATTTGATTAGAGAGAAAGCAGAATATATTTTAGATAAACACTGAACAAATTCAGTAAGAAAAAAATTCAGCAAGAAAATGTACTTATGTTAGAACTAAGGATCTCTGCAAGGCTTTACATGTTTTACAAATAATGTTCATATTGTTTCCTGAAGTAGATTTCAATTTATTTTGTCCCCTTAGGACAACGATTAAGTAAGACCAAGTCACATTTATCGTATAAATTTTCACGCAGAAAAGGCACTTCCTATAGTTTCACATAAGAGACAAACTTACTTTCATTCTCAGCCTTTCGGCCAATTGTTGAAATTTTCCAGGTTCATGGAACCTTAATGCCCTTTTATTTCTAAGAGCCGGTTTTAAACCAATTCTGGGATCAATAAAACTTGTCTCAGAATTATCATCATCCCTTTTGTCAACTTTCTCCTTGTACTGTTCTCTCTTCAAGGCTCTTAAATTGGCTTTTAGTGTGGGTGCTACATGTGTAAGTTGAATGGCTTTACCTGATTTATCAATAGTCCTTCCCTCCTCATCCAAAATTAGAGGTTGAGGTTTAGTTGGGATAATAGGAATTTGAATTGCATTTCCCAATATGCCAGTAGAGAGTTTATTTTTAATTTGGGCCTGAAACAAAAAGCACTTATATAAGGATGTGTTTGAGCTGGTCATCTGGAGATTCAAAAGCGTTTGAAATGAATATAGCAAACAGTTGAGCAAATAGTTGAACTTACTTGCAATTGAGCGATTTTCCTGGCCTTTTCGGCATCGCCTTTATTTAGTAACCCCGTGGGGATACCATAAATACTTGGTTGAGGAATTTTTATATTAGCCAAACTAATGCTGTTTTTGCTCGGGGGTGGTAAAGGATCCATTTTTAAATTTCTCATTATGCCGTCTTTATCAGACAGGTGTTTTTCCTTTTCACGTCCCGACATCGAGTCTCTACTTCTGGACTCTCTGTCCCGCTCTCTATCTCTATTGCTGTCGTTTTTCGACTTTTTTGAATCTCGATCTCGATCTCTATCTCGGTCATCATCATATGAGCGTTTCTTTGACTTACGAGTAGCATCGACATCGTCCAGCAAGTCTTGTATCCTTTCGGAAAGACGGCTAGCCTTTTTACTGTCTATGTAGGAGTCGAGTTTATCAGCAATTTTCCGACGATCATATCCACTAGTCAAACAATCTATGACGACTCTGAGCACTGAAGAGTCACTGTTTCCCAACGTTTTATAAACCGCCCTTTCCACCGATGGCTTCAAGTCTTCGATTTCTCTGCGAGACAAATAAGCCATGTTCAATGGAATACGCCACAAGAATAAACAATTCCAAGAGTTAGATGCAAATTCATATAAACTCACAACTCACAACACTTACACCCATACCTTTACAGGTTAAATAAATGACAAAAGTGACGCGTGTCAATCAGGCAAATGAAAAGATGGCCGTTGCTAGGAGTATGTTCAGAATGGTTGCGACGATAACAAATAACATGCCCACATTAACCAGTGTTTATTGCTAGTGTTTCTGGAAGAAATGCGGGTTTCGACCACTTTTAACTCTTTGAATTTCACATCTTTTGCAAAAATAATGTGGAAAGTAATTTTAGATTGCCTTCCTAACATCTCCTAGCATACCAATGCTGCAGGTGCAAAAATTGTTTTAAATGTACAGCGAAAATCTATATTTCTTAACTTAAGCAACAGTTATTGCTAAATTCTCATTTTGGGGAAATAGCTGTTTAATATTATTTACTAAAAACATAAAATAAATATGTACATCAGTTGAAACTAAACCAAATTTTATCAAAATGTATCAGCACAAGTAAAAATGTAAATTCGGTAAAAGCGCGATATTTGTCAAACTGAAAAGTAAAAAGGTGGCACTAATTTTGTATTAATTTCGTTTAAATTATAGGAAAAGAAAATGTAAGAAAATGTAAGAAAATATAATAAAATTACCAAATGAGATCTACGCAATACCTTATGAGAAGAGTATTGTATTGTTTTTTGTATGGTAATATTATTATGTTATCATTTATAACTTGTTTTGTCCATAAAATAAATTCAAACTCTTTAGCTTTAACTAAAAAATTATAAAATCACAATTTATGCCTTATAATTAGTACGTCCAATACAGTTCCAATCTCGATCAATAACTGAACACGTTCACAACCTTACATGTCCAGCCCAGATGATTTCTGTCAAACCCAACCTGCCAAATGATTACATTTCTGGCGCCCAGTCTGAAATTTCAAATTTTCATCCTTTCTCAACCATTACGTAATTTATTAAAAAATACAGAACGATTGGAAAATTTCAGAAAAATTAATCGTCGTTTGTCACTAGTTTCTGTGTTCTGATAATGTTCCATTGGAACAACCAAAATAAATATGAAACGATTTTTTGGAGGCGTCTTAATTCTTCGTCGAAGTATTCTCATTGAATGTAAGGCTTACTACTCGTTAAGAACCAGACACAAAGTCCTAGAAGATGGGCCAGCTGCTCTACTGAGGAAGAGAATTACTGCCAATAAAATACAAGAAGATACTGTGCAACTGAAGATAGGTGAACAACTGCAAAGAGTGTATGAAGATGTGAAAACGTATCATCCATCTCAGGCAAGTTTTTTCAGTAAACTACTGTCTTCCAAGAAACAGAAAGCCCCAAAGGGACTATACATCTATGGAGCTGTTGGTGGAGGTAAGACAATGCTTATGGATCTCTTTTTTGATGTTTGTCAAGTGGAGAGAAAGAAAAGAGTACATTTCAATGAATTTATGGTGAAAGTACATGAAAGAATGCATCAATTAAAGCAAGAGGTGGTGCAGGATTTTTCTGAAAGAAAAGCTAAACCATTTGACCCAATTGCTCCAATAGCACAGTTAATTGTCGAAGAATCATGGCTTTTGTGCTTCGATGAGTTTCAAGTCACTGATATTGCAGATGCCATGATTCTGAAAAGGTTGTTTACCGAGTTGTTTAATAATGGAATTGTTATGGTCGCGACAAGTAACAGACCACCGGATGATCTATATAAAAATGGCTTGCAAAGATCAAACTTCCTCCCTTTTATCGACATACTGAAAAGTCATTGTGAAATAGCTAATTTAGATTCTGGAACTGATTATAGACTAAAAGTTATCGGTGATAAGACCAACTACTTTGTAAAAACTGATTATAATCTTGATCCAATTGCGCCAATATTTAAATTCTTGTGCTCGAAAGAGAACGATGTAATTCGAGGCAAAACACTCGTCATTTTAGGCAGGAATGTAACGTTTAAAAAAGCTTGCGGGGGAATTTTAGAAAGTACCTTTGACGAACTGTGTGATCGGCCTTTGGGTGCCAACGACTACCTCCATTTAACGCAATTCTTCCACACCATTATTATAAGAGATATCCCGAGAATTGATCTACTTGAAATGCGCTCACAAGCTAGACGATTCATAACATTAATCGATGCTCTGTACGATCAAAAATCCAAAGTTATCATATCAGCCGAAGTTCCTATAAGAGAATTATTTACTTATACAAAAACCACTGATAGTATTAGCGACGAACACAGAATGTTGATGGACGACCTGAAAATAGGCGACAAGGACCTAACGTCGAACATTTTCACTGGGGATGAGGAGATTTTTGCTTTTGATCGAACTATATCTAGATTAAGCGAAATGCAAAGCGAAGACTACTGGGGCGATAAAGGTAAAAATTAGTTAAATGTCTTAGTTTGCAACAATACAACTGGATTTATTGTAAAGTCGTTCAGCTAGCACATTTAGTTTAGAAATTTAGAAATGGTCTTGACTTTCTGTTTTCCAAGCACTTTGAGGACGATTCATCGCTAACCGAGAATGTGCATCTTAGTAGCTAAGATCTCTAGAAAATGATAAGTATTTTTTTGTTCGTGATATACATCGCTATTTTTACTTATATTACTTCAATATTCTAGTTTAATACCAACTGATCCTGAGTATGCTTTTTTTACAGAATGTTACAGAAGAAACCAAAAAACTTTGTTTTCATTTTTGAAGATATACTTATATACAAGGTGTTCAAGTGTTTTTTCTCTAAACAAAATTGGGAGCGACTTAACTTTTGGCTCTGACTCTTTGGTCTCTTTGTATAGCGACTTTCGTGTGATTTTATTTGATTGTCTGTGACTTCTGACTTGATATGAACTTTCTACGCCAACGGTTATCGACATTTAGGTTTCTATATGCGGATAATTTTATTTTAATTTCTGAAAGAGTCTCATTTGAATATGTTGTGGAGCAGTGGAGCACCGTCTGCTATAGAGATGACATATGTATATATATAATATGATATGCTTAAGTTGGACGCAGTCGAACGCCTTTTTCAAGTCGATAAAACTTGTGCACGCTGAGTTACTATATTCGATACATTTTTCAACGATTTGTGTTAACTGCGATACACCTAAAGACACGCATTTATGTGTATCATGTTAATAACCAAAACTACATCCGTACAGAATCCTTTCGCGGTGAACTCTTGCGGATCATCTGCAAGTGTAATGTGATTATTAAACATTTTGGCCATAATTATTCGCACTATTAATTCACCATCTTAATTAAATTAATTTTTAAAACGAAATTTAGTCGATCTTAAAAATGAGAATTGTAAATACTCGCCGGTCAATCGTGTGGAATTCTATGAGTGAAAAAGTCTTTATAGGTCATGATGGTCCCTTCCTCCACCTTATTTTTGTAGTAATTTTGTTTTAAGATGAAAATGTTCTGTTTCTGCCGCCTCAGTTCATATATCTGGTGCTTCTTTCTTTCTTTAGTTATAGAATTGTCTGTTTTGTATACCTAGTTCGGTTTTTCCTAATTTATGTCAGTTCTTCGATGTTTTCGCGTTGGTTCCTAAGAAAGCGCCTTGTTTTTGTAATCTGAACCAGCCAATTCGCGTCCTTTTTGAAAAATGTGTTTATATTTTTGATCAGAACTTCTGTTCGACTAGTAGGTACCTATAAAAGGTTGTCAATCTTGTCCATAAGTTTTTTTTTGGCACTGATGCAGTAGTAATTTGCTCTGTGTTGTCGCTGGTTGTTTATCCTTTTTGGTTGTTAGTTTAATCCAGGTTTTTCTAGCAGCATAAAATCGTAAAAAATAATTGATTGAGATATACAGAGTGGCCCGTAAGCACATGATCAAAAGGATACTGCGATATAATTTGCATCAAAAGAAGACGATCTGACCTAACTTCTGTTAACAAAAAATATCTGGCTCCTCTGGTGTAATACGAGGCATAAATTGATTGACAATCAATATCACAAATTCGGTTCGGAAGACCTTTTCTAATGAAGAAGTGACCGACATGGTCAAAATTTACGCGGCGCATATTTGCAGTTAATGTCTCACATTGTTAAGTGGCAAGAAAACAGACATATTTTTTTGCACAAAAACTATGAATGCTACAAGATTTTACAAAGAGCATAAAATTGTGAATGCATTATTAAAGCACCAACCAAAAAAAATGAGTTGATTCCATCCACCAAATAAAAGGTACTGGTAGTTTTTGTACCACGACTCTCAAGAATTCACCACTTGTCCAAAACGGCTGAACTCGATTGTTTCATCAAAATATATACATGTCTTACATAAGAACAAATTCACAACTAGTTTCACCAACATACATCGTACCAGTCTCCCAATATTTCAAAAAAGATACATTTTTTGGAGAACTTTGACCATCAATAGCAGAGGAGCCAGACATTTTTTGTTAATAAAAGTTAGGCCAGATCGTCTTCTTTTGATCCAAAGAATATCGCAGTACCCTTTTGATCATGTGCTTACGGGGCATCCTGTATAAATCTATTGACGACTTTGTCGTTGGTTGTTGATGTTTGGACTGTTGGTTCGTGTTATACGAATGTTTAAGGACGCAAAATGTGTTGTTGATCGCAATTCGATAGGTGAGGAAAAGCTAATCATTAATTCTTTGTTGTTTTTCAATTTTCCTTGATTATTTTCTGAATATCAAACGATGGAAGAAATTAAATAGTCAGCAATATATTTTCAAGGTTTTGATCTCAAGCTGTATATCCTATTCTTCACGTTAATGACAAAACTAGACAAACGTTTATAACTTCAAGTTTAGAAAAAAAAATTTCGCATTTTGTGTTCAAATTGAGTAAGTAGTAACAAACTCACACCCAAGGGTGGCTTCATATTTATGTACACCTTGTATATTAATTTACTTCCTACGTTCATAATAATTGCAATGGTTTTGCGGTCAATCAATTTCGCACATATAATAACTTAATTTTCTGAACTTTTTTTGTGTGACAAAAATGGGTTAAAACTGCTGCTTTTAGATTGGCAACTGTTACCAATAGTTAGTGATGCTAATAAATTAATTAGCCAATTTTCAAGCCGTTCACTTTTAAACATTAGCGGTAAACAGTGGTGATTGCTCAAAAGCGGACTAGTTTAATTTTTTTCTTAAAATAATTTAGTACGTTTGAACAGCTTATTGGTACTTCACTTATTACCTACCCCAACTTGTTAAACAACACGCAATGCTTTCTCTGAGGTCATTTTAAAAATGCTCAAAAACGGGGGCAACTAAAACTTAACATCTGCACATTTTTACACTCATTTTGTGATTTATTACCTTTAATTTTAATAATGTGCGAGCAGAACAATTTATAACACTGATGTTTTGGTCGAGCAATGTTATGTTAAGGTAACATTTTGGAAATCACCCACACATGAAAATATGATCCCAGGGAGATCGTCAATCCGATTGAAGTAAATTCTCTAGGGTGCACCTTATACAAACCTTATTCAAAACTTTTATTTCAATGCATAAGAACTGTATTTTTATATCAAATACCAAAGCACAGCTACGACTAATAAAGTTTAAAAATACCGATGACAAAAATTACTTCTTGGAACTTTGTACTGAAGTCATAAGGGGCTTTGGATGGATAAAGTATTTTATCATTTATATTTATACAGGTATTATTATACAGCGAAATAATTAAATGCTGATAGTTGATTCTTATTCATTGTTATTTGAGTATTTTAGCCATCTTTTATAGGTTGTAAACATTTTTAACCATGCGTTATTTATGTTTTGTTATTCCATTTCCACATGTTTGTGGGACCAGGCTTCCTGTTTAGATAAGTTGACATATTTTGTCGTCAATTTGTACTTACAGCAGTTTAGTTTGATACTAGATTGCAATCCCGCTAATTTATAAGTTTTCAGCATACCTACTGTTAAATAAAAATATTTATGAAGTAAATAATCAACTTCTGGCATCTACTCTTTCTTATTCATCGAATATTTATTTTATTAATTGTTTATTTAAATACAAAATATAAGTGGAAATATTTTCGGCACGATACGGACACTTTTCGTACAGGTATGTACGTATTCAGTTTAGAGTTAATATATTACATTAACAGCTAATCAGTGAAAGAATGAAGCAACATTAATTTTCTTGAATCTATTAAGAAGTTTCACTCTAATGCTGTATCTAAAAGTGGCAATAAAATTAATGGAAGCAATTATGTAAGGGGATAACGAAAGCAACAAATAATAGATTAATTATTTATGTTAACTCTCATTTTAGACTTAATGTTTCGTTAAACCCAACCAAATGACTGTGTGTTATTATTTGTAGATGATAGTAGGTAGGTATTTAGACGAAACTGTTAACTTGAATAAGTGTACTTAATTTAGATATAATTGTTACTTTGTCAAATAAATATGATTTTATTATTGTTATAATTAAATTGAATTTGTGAATCATGCCCCTCATTATGCAATTTTAGGTGAAACGCGCTGTGTTGAATGCGAATATTTTTTACGAATTTGAGCATAGAGGAAGAGATAGAAAAAATCTGTGCCAATTATTGGGTTCTGAACGAACTCTGGTCCTCGATAGAGCAGATTATTTTAATATAAGTTTGTCATACAAACATGTGTCTGTCGCAAAACGCTTCGTTATTGAGACACAGGGTGTCAAACTTTTATATTTCTAGTATACTTTTACCTATCATCATCCACCAGTCTTGAGATAATTCAAACTATTCGAAAACGTACAGTGATCTTTTTCAGTTAGGCCCCCTTTTATTATGCAGAAATTTGTGTGGACGCCACTGACCGCCTTATTCGCAATTATTTGAATTTTTCATTTAATTTAGAGAAGAAGTCTTTACGTCTTCTGCATTCTTTTCGCAGCGTTATCCCATGTTGAGTAATTTGGAAATGTATTTGAAAATTTAAAAATTGTGGCTTAAAAATTACTCCAAATGCATGAAAAGTACTCTGGATAGAGAAATACGAGTATATATATTTTTTATGTTCAAATGTTGTTGTTAATTTAAAAGTCACATATACATATTCGCAAGGACAAAAACATATTAAAATATTCGCGGTTGAAGAAACTGTAGAAGATACATTACTGTAATTATTCCCATTACTTGGGGTGCCGTTTTATTACGCGCGTGGATTGAAAATCAATTTAATCTGCATAAATTCTCGTTGATAATTATTTATTGATTTACCAATTATCGGGGGCAGCACCCAACGTGATAATGTCGTTAAAAAGACGTGAAAATGTACGTAAAAGTCACCAATTTCGTCACGTCAAAATTCGCGTGCATTTGGCGTACTCATAGATAAAGACGAGTACTGTTTGGCGTACCCCATGCAAAGGATGCCGATGCAATCGAGGTGCAGCGTTGCCGGTCGTATCAAAACAATTGTAAAATCTTTACAATAAATTTTATATGCAATGCACAATGAACTGTAGATTTCTTTGTTGAGAGGTCTTTCAAATAAATATTAATATTCAAGAATTAAAAGTCATCCGATCAGGCAAGAATTCATATATCTTCCTCAAATTTTCAGATTTAACAGTCTGGATACATCATTGACCACGATTTTATATATTCTGCTATTTTGATAATTATTGGTTGATTGAGATTAAGTTATTACAAAACAATTTTTTTATATTTTAATCAAATTGCTTGTACTTTCAAAAAAAGGGATTCAATGTTTGGTAACTTAAAAGTTACTGTAGAGCGGAAGGTCTATATAGATGCGAGAGATGTATGATATCTTATGTAAGTTGCTTTAAGAAGCTTGCTACCAGTTTAGAGCTAAGCAGAACGAACGGTCAGGAGAAGACTTAATGAAAAAGGATTGAACAGGCTCACCAGAGAGCATAGAATGGATCTAGTTTTTTGATAGATTTTTTGAGAGGCGTTTTCAGCCCTGAACGATTGGAAAATAGTTTTGTTCCCCGATGAAACGAAAGGAAGTCTTATGACACCAGATGGACGCAGATACTGAGAATTCAGGAGAGGAATTCGCTTCAATGATAATGAACATTTGATTAACACTATGTCCAGTGGAGTGGGAGCAGTAATAAAAGCTAGAGCTGGCTCTACACGCTATTAAATTCAAATTCTTGGCATTTAATTTGACATAAAACTCTTTTTTTCTTTCTTTTTTTTTCAAGCGGTTCATTGACGAGTTATTTATTTATACGTTTTCATTCTATTTGATGCTATTGTTACTTTCTGTGTATTAATTGTGTATTTTTTCAGACATTTTTCAAAAATGTTCCATGTTTAATTGGTAGCATATTGGAATAATTAAGCATTCAAAAAGAAAAATTACCATCTTTGCTTCAACTTACGAAAATTTTTTATATCAAAAAAGTTCTCTTCTACAATTTTTTGATGAAAAGGCACGGCGGCAATGATGTTTTTTGTCATTAACAGATAGTTACAGGTGGATAGCGCTCGTCAAGAATAACAATAATTTGTCAAACTGTGACTTACTTTTAATTTCCTTTCACGAATTTGCGGATATGCGATTAGTTCAGGGGAAATGCTACCGTAACATAGCAGAAGCTGAAAGAACTCACGCCAACAAAGGGCGAGGAGAGTGGTTCCAGGAAGATAGTGGACGATAGATGTTCGGGTTCCAAGCACAGAGGAACACGTATTGGACATAACCAAATCAGGGCCTTCCAGGGGCACTCAGAGCACAATAACTGACACTTTCCTAAGCACCAAATAAATACCGAGGAAGGGATACGTTCCTACCACGTTTGTATGATACACTCAGCACAAGGAGATACAAATGGAGCAGGAGTTAATTAACTGAATACGAGAAGCTGCTTGATACGAGTGGATAATAAGGAGATTACACAGACACTAGCTTGTTTGGAGTTAACCATTCAAATGTTTGGTGTTGTATGGTTTATTTTTAAACATCAATATTCGAGGTTATGAGAACAGGTTGACATTTCGTCAACAAATCTTGTTGAATTTACCGTTTATCCTTATTGTCAGTCTGTATTAATATATAAACCATGGTTACCGGAGTTTTAAATAATTTTGAAGCCACAGGTATTTGCGCAATGTTAATTAGGCAGATTACCTTGAAAAACATTGCTGCCGTATTTCTGATATAGTTTTTTGCAAATTTCTCAGTTTTTAATAACAATTAGTTTCTTTTACTATTTTTTCTGTACTCCTGTAACAGCGCCAGACAACACCTCCAGAGAAATGACGCCAATTTTGAATCACCCCGTATATTCTTTTAGTTTCACTAAAAAAAATCACTTTAACCATGCTAACACAAGCAAACCGTCAAAATTAACCGAAAGGAAAGCAACTCAAAAATGCGTCGCACTATTGTAGAATTCCCGAAAGAGACAAATAATCTATCATCTGACACTATCGACGCGCTAGAGCAGAGACAAGGGATAACTTAACATAACATAACAAGGATTATTTCTTGTCTCTGCGCTAGAGAACCTCAATCAATGGACGACGTTAGAAAGATGCTCAAACTTTTGCAGAAAACACAATTATTATGCATCTTAGCAACAATTTTACTTTAAGTGGATTTATGAATTGTTGATACCTAAAACACGGTTCAGCAGCAAATAGCATCCGACAACCTCAGTTCCGTGTATGAATAATTGGGAATGCGGATTTCAAAAGTTTATAAATGTTTTTCGGCTTAGGTGATGGTGTCGTTTGAGGTTCTCGGAATTTGTAGCTTTCTCTATTTTTACCTTAAAGATCACTTCAAATTAACCATTCTCAGTGAAAATTTTTCCTGGAGAGTCCATAAATTAAGTCAAAAAAGATTTACAAACCTTAAGGAAAATCGCCACTTTCACGATAAATTTCAAGCGGTGTTGCCAAACTGCGCAAAATATTTTAAGTTAATGAAAACTGTTTCCTTGGATACCTACCATGTAGATTCATTCAATTTGGGTTAATTTGGTTAGTTTGGGCTAGATAGGGTTATATAGGTACTAGCTACCATACTGACACAAACTGAATTAAATGGTTCATTCATTGTGAAATAATACTTTTTATTCATTGTTACATACAAACTGTTAATAAATGGGTGAAATATGCGGCAACACCGCATTGTGCTGAATTCTCCAAAGAAATATAAACAATCCAGCAACTGACTATCAACATGCTACATAACCCCAAGCAAATGCGAGGTTAGAAAAGATGCTCAAACTTTTGCAAAAAACGAAATTATTATGCATCTTAGCGACAATGTTGAATGTGGAGTTATGAATTGTTGATACCTAAAACACGATTTAGCAGCAAATAGCACCGGACAATCTCCCTTTCGTGCATAAATAAGTGGTTTTGCAAACTCAAATTTCAAAAGTTTGCTAATGTTTTTTGGCTTAATTTATGGACCCTCCAGGAAAAATTTTCACTGAGCGTGCTTAATTTGAAGTGATCTTTATGGTAAGAATAGAGAAAACTACAAATTCCGAGAACCTCAAACGATATCATCACCATCACAATCGTTAACTTATGGAGCATCCAGGATTTTTTTCGTTGAAACTTGAATGGAAATGACAAAGTAACGACCATTTTTTTAAAGGATATTTCTGAAGTGGGACACCGTGTATATCGGCAAGCTAGGACGGAATGGGACGCATCCCCTCTATAATTTGAATGTGACAGTCATGTGCCGGTGCCGCCGCACTTTGTGTTTTGCAGCTTTTTATGCGAATGAACAGCGTTGGAAAAGTGACTGAGGATTCGTCGGCCGCCTATAAAACATAACCATAAATGTGGTATTTTCGCATCGAACACCACTGGTTTTCATGGCTGCTCTACTTATTCCACTCTAGACGTGGCAGTGGCAACGCGACAGTGACGTCTGAGCGTGAGTCAAGCAAGGCCGAAGCCCGGCAAAGTTTAGTTCGTTTAGCGGCAAGTGTCGAAAAACTGTGCCTTGCTTGACGCGGACCGGTGTAATGATAATCGTCATGTTTTTCAATGGGCTGAGGGTGGGGAAAGGATAAGGGGTGGATTGGTGAACGTTATTGATTTTTCGGGGTGACACTGACAACTTGCCCGTCCAATTTTTCCATACTATAAGAGACTTTGAAAAAAAAGCAAAAGCCCCGGTTCGGTAGCGTGCACAATCCCAACGAGCATTTCAGCCGTCTAATTTCGTGGCCTGGATTGTACGCTTTTTTTCCGGCATTACGTTTTTCACGTGTCTCGTTCGTCGGTCGGTCGATTGATTCCACGCCGGTTGTGTGTTTAAGTGATTTTGTGGTGATTGCTTTGGAACCCGGTGGAATGTGTCTTGCAAACCAAAATCTCACTGGAATATTTATTTGTGGGCAACGCCGGACGGCGACGCAGTAAAAATGGAGGCTATACCAACTAAATGTTTACAACAGCGTCCTTGCCGGAGATCTAAAAAGAAAACTAAGTGGTTTTGCTAAAGTTGCTGCCATTGCTCCCTTACTGCAAAAGGCCAACGGCACAGCCGACGAAGGTGGGCTTATTTTTATTTTTCATAAACTGCATAGATAACCTAAATGATCAGCCAGAATTCGCCTACTCGCTTGTCAACACGGTTCTTTCCTAACCTTAACAATGCTTGGCTCGGCGTTTATCTGCAGCAATTGCAACGTTTTCATTCAAAATTGCCTCTTTTCTTCCCTCATTTCTACATAATTTATCCTCTACCTGTTGGTGTTTGTTTAACAATAAGAAAATTGAGATGATGAAAGAATCAGAATCTAAACTATTCACGAAGTGCCCCAAATAGATACCCTACTCAGGTTCTATTAATCAATAAGCAAATAGCTATAATATTTGGTAAAAAGTAAATAATAATAAATGTTGTTACTCTTTGCTGCGCCTGTGCACGAGCTGCATTTCATGCGTCCATGTTGGCAATGTTGCCGTTCACACGAATTGAACTTTCTTGGACACCTTCAGCATATACAGAGGCGTTGAATTTCGCTTTAAGAATATTCGGAAAAGAACCAATACAAAATTCGTTACTTTCTCCGTACTAAAGTAAGGCCTATTGAATAGTACATAATTTAGAGGAATTTAAGTTTCATATATTAAACTGTGTTCAAGATAAGAAAAGCTTGGCGCTTTGAAACTTTTGATACCAATTTAGGTTTGAGATTCTTTTTGAAATTAGAAAATTCAATTTGCTTTAGAAAAACTAGACATTGTGTACACAAGTGTACCATTTTTATTAGCCTTTCAATTTGACTTGTTTGATACTTTCGTTCATTTAGGCATACAGCTACAGGTAGATATGTACAGGGTTATTGATTGACTTTGGCCACCCCGTTTTTACCTCTAATTTGAAATTTAGAGAAAAATGTTAAAATTAACTAAAAGTTAAGATCTGCAACTTTTGTATTTAAGATAATACCAATTGATACAGGGTGTCTCAAATTCAAGTGGCAGACCAAACTTACGTTTTTTTTTATTTGAATGCGGTACTTTTAATTGCGCTTTCGAGCTATCCGCAAAATTCTATGTTCTACAGGGTGTTCCGTAAATATGTTAAAATATTTTAACAGTGTATTCTTCCAGTCATTTTAGAGGCGGGTCTTTCTGAGAATTTTTTTAATTTGAGGTTTCGTTGTTCAGATATTTGATTTCCAAAATGGCGAAAAATTATAGTTTTTGTTGCTTTCCTTTAAAACGGTTAAACATAGAAACTTCAATTTTGGTATACATTATAAGCTAATTGAGTGCCATTTTATGATAGTGTTTCGTTGTTCAGTCTGCTTTTATACAGGGTAGAAGTGTAGAACCCCTACTTTTGTTTTGTTTAGAACTTTTTTGTGTGCACTCAAACTTTTCTCACATAATTACTACAAGTTATTTACCAACTTTTTTATCTCTTATTGTTTTTTCCTAAGACCACTAGTTTGCCCGAAAAAAATAAGTTTCTTTGTAGTAGTTTATAGTATAGTTTTCTTTGTCGTTCTCATAATGTGGAAGTAATTAAGTTAATTTTTTTAAATTTAATAACGTTTTCATGTAATAATTTTGGTACGCATCATTAGTTGATTACTAACAACCTAAATTATTTTTCTAACTTGTGTATTTTGGTTTAATTGTAGATTAAAATTATTAAGTTTGAATAAATTTTACTTAAATAATAACCATTCTAATGTTAACTTAGCAGCTGTTAAAATTGGTCACCTCGACATTCTTGGCATAATAGCAGTCTTTTAATTAAATTAAACATTTACAGACCGTAAAGTTTGCACTGAAGTTCTTATTTCGTTAGAAATATTAAATATTCTTTCCTGAAGTCCTTCGATTGTATTCACTTCTGTTGAATACACCGTATTTTTTAAATGGCCCCAGAAGCAAAAATCAAGCGCGTTTAGATCCGGAGATCTGGGAGGCGAGTTTATAGGAGCTTCTTGACCTCTTCCAATTCAACAACTTGGAAAGTTTTGATCAAGCCGAAACGATTTAATTTTTTTGCGGGCAAGCTAGTGCCCTTAGGAAAAAACAATAAGGGATCAAAAAGTTGATAAATAATTTGTAGTAATTAAAAAAAATGTTGATAAACGTTTAGGTGCACACAAAAAAGTTTTGAACAAAACAAAAGTAGGGGTTCCACATTTCTACCCTGTATAAAAGTAAACTGAGCTACTAAACACTACCATAGAATGGCACTCAAATAGCTTATAATGTATACCAATATTGAATTTTCTATGTTTAACCGTTTCAAAGAAAAACAACAAAAAATAATATTTTTTCGCCATTTTGGAGATCAAATATCTCAAAAATGAGACCTCAAATTTAAAAAATTCTCAAGAAAACCCCCCTCTAAAATGACTAGGAGAACACGCTGTTAAAACATATTTACGGAACACTCTGTATATTGATTCTCAACTGATTTTGAGTTAATAACCAATATTGATTGAACTTTAGCCACCCCGTTTTTGCATCTCATTTGTAATGTAAAGATAAATATTAAATACAAAAGTTGTAAATATTAACGTCTAGTTGATTCTAGGATAATACCAATTGATACAGGGTGTCTCAAACTAAAGTGGCGAACCAAATTTACATTTTTTTTTAAATGGAATGCCGCACTTTCTATTGCATATTTGAACTATGCGCAAAATTCTAGGCTTGGTGGACGTAAATCTCCTCTATTGATCTTCAACTATTTTTAAGTTAATAACCATTTAAATGGGTATTTGGGAATTCCATTTAAAAAAATGTAGGTTTGGTTCTCCACTTGAATTTGAGACACGCTGTAGCAATTGCTTTTCTCTCAAAACCAACTAGATGTTAATATCTACAACTTTTGTATTTATTATTTTTCTCTAAATTTCAAATTAGATCTAAAATCGGGGTAGCCAAAGTTCGATCAATATTGGTTATTAACTCCAAAACAGTTGAAGATCAATGTACAAGATTTATATCGAATAGGCCTAGAATGTTGCGTGAAGTTCGAATATGCGATACAAAGTGCTGCATTCCATTTAAAAAAATGTAGGTTTAGTCCGCTACTTGAATTTGAGACTTGTATCAATTAGTATTACCTTACAATCAACTAGACCTTAATATCTACAACTTTTGTATTTAATATTTTTCTTTACTATTTCTACTATTTTAAATTAGATGCAAAAACGGGGTGGCCAAAGTTCAGTCAATAACCCTGTACTCACATTTGCTTAATGAGAAAATCATCATGTGCACGTGCCAATACAAACATACAAAGTATTACTTGCAAAATAACATCACAAAAATAGCATGTATTTTTTCATCACGACTGGTCTCAAATGTTTCACTTTGAAAAATGAAAACTTTAAAGTTTTGTTAATAGTTTACTTTCCAAGAAATGATTTGCAAAAATGTCAGTAGATTTGATTAAGTACCTACTTAGTATACTTTTAGTGAAATAATTTACATTAGTAATAAAGATTTGTTCACAAAAATGACGTTGGTAAAAAAAATACAAAAAAAATGTTCGTTTGCAAATGCAAAAGTATTTAAGTGATTATTACTTAGTTTAGTTTTAGTGAAATCATTTACAATAATATAACAAGTGTTCTCCCAGAAAGGACGATTCTAACCAAAAATACTAGCATTTCGTTTTTATTGTTCGGAAATGTTTGATTTTTATTAGTTTCTTTCAGCGGAAATAATTTATGAAAAAATAATTATCTCACAGAATGATTCTATACAGAGTGTTTATCAATGGCTAACTCAAGGAAAACTAGATTCCTCAGAAAAAATGCAGTTTTTCTCTATCCCCGCTTCTATTTTTGGCACCCTGTGGGTTGATCGAGATCTAAAAGCACGGAGATAAAATGGGAAGCGGAAAAAAGTGGTTCTTTCTTCCAGTTCTTTTACAGTTTTCTGTTGCGACACTTATTGGAGTTCTCCCAGTATAAAAATACTACTGACCATAACATTTATTCGCTCGCAGATGTTTTATTTATTTATTTATATTTATTATATGTATAGAACATTATTTACCGAATACAATATGTGACAAAACGATTCTAAATAAAAATATGCTGGCAGAATTTGCTTCAAATTAACACACATGTTCTTCAACTTATTTACAAAAATTCAATTTTTCGGAAAAGAATTCCATATGAAAATTCTACCAGACATATTTTTTTCTAACTGCAAATTTTATATTTTTCAGTAAGTAAGTAAATTAATCTTGACCAATTTTTTTGCCAAAATCATTTACAGTCAATAATACCTAGCAAAACGATTGTGAATAAAAATATCCTGTTGGATTTTTTTCTCTCGCAAATGCTTTATGCTTCAATAAACTATGGTTTTTAGTTAAATGTAATTATTATTTTCTATATTTATAAAAATAATTAAGTAGCCACAGTAACAGAGTGATTCTAAATAAAAATATCATGTCTTAATTGTTAGTCGAAAATGCTTGAGTTTTGAAAAATCTGATAACTTAGTGGAAATATGTACTTAATTTACAAAAAAAATAATATATCACAAAACGATAAAGATTCTCGGTTTTGATTGTAGGTAGATCAAGGGAAAAATTATTAAAGAGTCAATTATAATGATGATAATCTTAGTTATTGAGAGTTTTAAGTTCTATGAGTGAATGAAACCGAAACCCCTTGCAGATTTGGCGCGAGTGAAAGACAGATTTTCCCAACTTTTGCTGGAAATTTATATTCATATGATTCTGCTGCTTGAATTGTTATTCCCGCGATTGTAGTATCGGTAACACTATTCAAAATTTCAAAAAACCTGTAAATTGAGTTAGGAGGAAAGCCATAAGAAGAAGAAAGTTTGATTATGTTGCAAAATGCCAAATTTGAACCGTTCCTTAGATATGGCTTGTTCCGTAAGGACTGTCATGTCATTTTTTTAAACAATTGACAGGTATCAAAATCTATAAGAGATAAGTTAACAACACTATGGTTGTTCACACGCGCAATTAGAATGCCTATCCAACCATGCTAAAGAAATTCGGGGTTTGCATTTAAAATGAGAAAGTTATGTTTTACATTTTCTACACCCTGTATAGCTGGAGGGCTAAATGTATGTAGCATGGTTTCGGTACAACTTGTTATGACCAGAAACAAACTGACAGTTCTAAATCAACTGCAGGATAGAAAACGGTATTCGCGGGCAAAAAAAGGGCAAACGCTCCCTGGTGGCTCAAATTATAACTACAAGTTAACTAGTAATTTGACAGTTGTTTTGTTGACATTGGTGAGTTGTTTTGTTCTAATCAAGTTGCAAGCTTTTGATTTTTGTTTTTTTTTATTGAATTCATTCATTCACATTCATTTTTGTTACAATTGCAACATTCACTTTTCGCTTGTTTACCAACTCCAATAGATAGACAAATATAGTCAAAGTTTATCGTAGTTGAACTCGCGAGTACCCTGTATCAGCATTTCTTTTAATATAAAATACCTATCCATTATACGTTCAGTCAGAATTTGAGGTTAGAGGGTAAATTTTGGCATTGCATGACAAGACAACATCGCAAGGATACTGTTATTAGCAGCTTTCCTTATCACTATTGCATTCAGTGAGGCTTTGTCAATCACAAGAGCTGCCCATAAGGCATCATTCGGAGAAAATGACAATTTAGTATTAGGTATCAGGTACAAAAATTCCAGTTGAGTAGCTACCTGAGTATTTAGTAGTGCATGAATGGTTGAAGTTGAAATTCTGCGCCGAACTAGTTTTGGGTTTCTTTTAACTTCTTTTGAACTATCTCTTTTCTGCAATCTTTTGAACTTAATTGATCAATAGGAGTAAATTTAGAACCGGCAATTTTCATAGCTATGATACTAAGAGAACACCAGTCAATGCGTGTTTATAGATATAACGTTAAATCGTATAAAGTTCAAATATTTTTATAAGCAATTTTTATTAGTCGGGTACAATGGTAGGTACTAGTTAACAGTAAATTTGTTGCCATTTCTTCGAGATTCTTTTGGCCCAGTAAAATATTCTCTGTGAGATAATTTTTTTATACTTAACTGAGCTTCTGTTTTCGATATTTTTCACATCGGAAATTGAAGCCAAAGTTAATTTCAATGAATTACCATATTCACACTAATTTTAAATGTAATTCATTTTACTTGAAACCAATTTAATTTATTGAATGTAAATTGAAAAAAGATACATTAACTAACTAAAACAAAATTCTACACTTAGTTTTAGTTTTTCAGGCTAAATATCGAGCGGTGTTTCATTCTGTTTATGAACCCGCTGTAAAGGTGGATGAAATACGTGGTAACACCGCATATTGTTCAATTCCCGAGAGAGATAAATAATCCGCCATCAACTATACACGCGATAGATAACTTCAATCAATGGGCTACGTTAGAAAATGCTCAGACTTTTGCGAAAAATACAATTATTGTCTCTTAGCGACAATGTTGCATGTGGAGTTGATACGAATTGTTGATACCTAAAAGACCATTTAGCAGCAAATAGCCCCGGATAATATAATTTTCGTGCATAAATAAATGGTTTCAGGAAAGGGAATTTCCGAAGTGTGTGTGTGTTTTTTGGCTAAATTTATGGACCATCCAGGACTTTTTGTCGCTGAAACTGCTTAATTTGAAGTGGTTTAAGCTAAAACAAATAAAACTAAAAATTCGGAGGGACTCAAACGACAAGTTTACCTGGCAACCTTACTACTACTTCGAGGAAAAGTTTCTATTCTCTGTCGGTTATTTTAAAGCAAGCAGAAGAAACGTCAAGCAAAACGTATCTCTTAGAAAGTTACCGTTGAACAAAAAATGCTAAACGCACTAAAGAAATTGGCCAGGAAAATTTTTAAGTGAAGAACTGTTAGGTTAGGATACGAATAAATAGGGAAAGGATGCAAATCGGTAATACCAAAAAGATCCTTTCATTGCAGAGGTGGGATAATAAGAATAGATATATGATAAGAACAATATTTTATATTTTTTTACAAACTTCTTGTTGGGTATTTCGCCTCAAAAATTTTTGTCTTTAAAAAAGACAGAATTTCCTCACGTCTTTTATTACAGATTGATAAATAGTGCTCCTATTTCGCAATAAGAACGAATTATTTATCAAAAAGTAATCAAGAACTATCACCTAGAGGGTATCCTGCCTGGACCCACTTAGGCTCAAGTTGTAAGAGAAAATTCCAATTAGTAAAGAAATTAATTTGAAAAATTACCTTGACGTTTCGATAGCTATTTTCTGCTATCGTTATCAAAAGAACCTAAATGAACCTAAAAAAAGAGTATATTAATAAATTGTGTAACAATAGTAGGATAATACAATATGTAAAAATTCGCTCTGATAATTCGTCTGTGCAAATTGTCAGTTCTGTGACTTTGACTTAATCTCATTGCTTAAATTAATAAAGGTAATGTTAATTAATAATTTTGGTGTAAAATTAATTTGGGTGAATGTTTCTCTGGTCTACTTCAGATTTTAGCATAGGTAACCATGTATGACTTAAATTAAATGAACATGAAGCAACACAATTATTTTGATTTAGTAA